TGCCCGTGCGTGCATGCTGCCTGGCTCAGGATTCCCCTCCTTCCCCTCGTTTCCAGGTTGCCGCAGTGTAGCCGTAAAATCAAGCAGAACCGTCAACAGGGCTTCCAAGAAATGAATGCAACTAGCAAAAATTGGACTGGAAAACACAATCCATTCTGCTTCCTCTGCAGAAAGTTCAGGAGAGATGCCTGCTCTGTTCCTGCTCAGGCAGGCTGCTGCAAAGGGATGCATTAGTAGGTTCTGCTTCTCTGATTTGTGACACGGGTGCCCATCCTGAGCAAAGGGCACATGGATACGGCCAAAGGCAGAAACACCGTGAGATGTTTTCCTCCTCACGCTGCAGCAGAATCTCTCTGTCTCCGAGCTGCACAGCAGAGGATCCAGGTTTTGTCCTGGTCCTCAGGGCTTGGTCCCCAGGAAAGGCAAATGCAACTCTTCCCGGACAGCGGATCCGTGCAGCTTTCCAGGCTCCGGCAGAAGGCAGGACCCAGCCAACCACAGCAACAAAATTTGTGCTCCCCTTGTCTTACTCCCCACCTAGCCACCCTCTAGCCAGGCACTTGCTTTGACCCTCACAGCTTGCTCCAGAGCCCTGGAAGTCAGCTATTCCCCCCTGCAGGCTCCAGGCTTGCTTCCAGCCTGAAACCCCTTCTGCTGGAAGATGCCCCCCATCCTCCCCTCGGATGGAAAGCACCTCAGCCCAGCCTCAGGAGCTCCCAGCAAGCAGTGATGCGCTGGCTGCTGGCCTGCCCACAAATATCCGTATTTCCAGGTTAATTTAAGCCACCACAGTCTGCAAACAGCTCCCTAAGGGTCCTTATGAAGCTGAGATTTACACAATCATTGGACTTGCAATACACTGAAATGCTCTGCAGACCTTTTAAACAGAACGGTCTGGCCAAGGTGTGGCTGGATGTAGTCCTGGGCTCAAAGAAAGACAGAAGTACGGCCAAAAAAAGTGAATGCTGAATAACCAAAGGGGTTCCCAAGGCTGTTTTAGTGACACAATTGCCATCCGGACAGCTCTTTTTACAAAGACGGCACCCTTCTCTTCATTTAAGAAGCGAAAGCTCACAACAAACATGCTCTGACATCTCGTAAATCCTTCACTAAAGCAGAAAGTAGAAGCAGCAAGCACTGTTAATTGCATAACAAAAGGTACCTGAGTTTAAACTTGTACCCTCAGTTCTGCCACACCCGCAAGCTGTTTACTCAAAACACATCAGCCTTGGCTACAAGGACTAACTAGCACAACAAAATAAAAAAAACACCTTTTTCTTTTTTTTTTTCTTTTTTTTTTTTTTTTTGTCCTGTTGGTAAACATCAAATCCTTGTCTTTTATTCTGGTTCTGTAAGTTTCCTGGCGAGTGCCAGCAGGTCTCAGCAGCTTGTCCTGCAAGGACACAACCTAGGGACTGCTCAGTTCAGGGAGGAAGCCAAAGGAGGCTGAGGAGCCCTGAAAGACAGAAAATGGGGGTCTGATGTGGAGCCCTTGTTGTGGAGTGATGAACGTCACCTCTGAGCAGTAGCCAGAGGTCTGAATTAAAAAAAAAACAGAACAAACCTGTTCTACCCAAACTGAGCAGAGCAGGGAGTTGCTTGAGGCTTCCCAGACTGACCTGCTCTGGTCACCGTGGCTGCAGAAGGTTCCTGCGGGGCAGCATGAAGAGGACACCAAAGGACTTGCAGGGGACACAGAAATGAAGCAAAGGGTTCTCCAATTTTAAACAGCCATCAAGTTACCACGGTAACCTCCCAGCTGAGCCTCAAGGGCAGCAATGGAAACAATGGTGAAAGCACCATGCCCAACAAAGCTCCATCACTCCCGCTGGTGGCACACGATGTGCCAAAACCCCAGGAGACTATTTTTTTTTCCTCTGGTCTTGTCACACACTGTGGGTCAAGGCTATAATGCAGGGGTGAATCCCACACATAACAAAGCTGGTATCTGTTGACTCTCATGGCTGATGTTTTGGAACAATAATTCGTATTTGTCTCCCTGGATACAGAGAACTGACTGACAGCCTGGATTAGCGCTGCACAGCCTTGCCCTGGGGACTTGGTGGTGTTGATGAGTAAACCACCACCTCTGCTACGGCTGTCCTCTGCTTTGATGTCGTTCCAGGGCAGAACATAGGACTCAGTTGTGAAAAACCACTTCTCTTTCTGGTCCTACACAGAGCCTGCTCATCCCTCTCGGGCAAGAAAGCTGCCTGTTTCAAACACGGTCACCCAAGCTCCCCCAGCACAGGCACAGGCTGCTGCCCTAGTTAGGAGCTCCCCCATGCAGGGAAAATCAGATCATGGTGATGTAATACAGGGTAGAGGAATAATCAGCACAAATACTGACTTTGACCTCAGTGATGGGAAGAGCAACATTTCCCTTGATAACAATCCTGTGCCATTATTCCCAGCAAGCTCCAATGTTGTGGGTTTTTTGGGCTTTTTTTCTTCCACTTCCTTTGATTTTGATGCAGGAACTTGAGACCTGGTCAAAAATGGTTCTTTTAGAAAAGTGAACATTGACCACTGATTTTTTTTTTTTTTCTTTTCCTAGCAAAGTTCAGCTGCAGGAGAGGCACAGCACAAATCTGCACTTCTTGGGACCCGGTCTAGAGGAATATAAGGTGAGGTAAAAGGAATACTAGCTCATCTCTCCTGGGGAATACCCAAAACATATAAGATGGCACAGCACCACATTATCCATCCTCAGGAAACCCCATAGTGCGACGATAAGAGATTCGAGGGAGCAACTGTCACCTTTTTAAAAGTAATGTTACCAAAGAGAGCCCTGGGGGCATTGCCACCCCTCTGGCCCCCGGCCAGGGAACTCATTCGTACCACACTTCTGTGCCTCCCCAATCCTGAGGGCCCTCCAGTCTCAGCCTTCAGAGGAGAACAAGGACTGGTGTTGTCATATATTGAGCCTGACTCTTCTCAGAAATGTGAAAAAAAAAACCCAAAAAAACCCCAAAACACACAGCAAAACAAACCCCATCATGATTCAGCAGATGAGATGCAATAGGAACACTTCACCTATTGAAGAAAATACCCCACGATACTCAAAGGTGGTCAGATGTTGAGAGTGCAATCTCCACCCTGGGAGATACTCAAAGCTTTCCCCAATGAGGCGCTGAGCAACCAGGTCTAAGCTTGCCCTGTTTTAGTGGGGTTGGACCAGAGACCTTCAACTGTCCCTTCTGATCTAAACTGCCTTCTTGGCTTACTGGACTAGCCCCTGATTTGGGATTTTTCCAGACAGGAGATAATAGGAGAAAGATCTAAGATCCACTAGGCAAGAACACGCTTGGCAAATAGCTTGGTTTGCTGTTGTGCTGGAGCCTTACAAGAGAGACGGACGCTGCCAAAGCACTCTACAAAGGGTTCTCCATCCTTCTGGAGAGAAGGAGATACACAGAAAGGAAACCCATAGTGTTGTGCTCCTAGAGAGGGGAAAGATGCAGGATTTAGCAAACACAAAACACACCCTGGTGCTTGCCAGGATGGTGATGAACAGTTCATTAGGTTTTCTCTGTGTCAGAAACTCAAAGAGTTAAAAAAACAAACACAGACTAAGTCTGAAATCACTTTATTGAAAAAAATTAGACAAGAACAGTCAGTGGCAAAAATATTCAAGTGTGATACAGCAACACCCCAGACAAGCCCCTCCTACATCTCATCTCAAGGCTGATCCATTCCCCAACAGTCACTGTCTCCGCAGAGACACGTGCAGCGTCCTGCGATGTCAGTGGGTTCCAGCGCAGCACAGGGAGCAGTGTCCTTCTGTCAAATAAGATTAGCTATGACTGATTTTTTCCTGGGAGAGGTACAAAAGGCCTTGTAGGTCTGTTGAGAATGCTGTTCGCAACATAATGCATCGTTCTCACCCACCCCAGCTCCTTCAACTCACCAACTGAAAGTTTGTAACAAACTATTATGCTAATAATAATTAACAAATTATTTTGCTAACAAAAATCTTTTAGAAAACTAGTGTTAAAAATTACTATATATAGCATAAAACTTTCAGAAAGTGACCGTGCCATTTCCACTTCACAGGAATAGTATTTAAACAAAAAAAAAAAAAGAGTGGCATGACATTAGACATTCACACAGTATAGAACATAGTGTCTTTCTGCAATACTCTGTGCAGCACAAGCCCCATACAGTACCGGGACAGCCCCAAGACAGAGCAGTAGCACCCCTTTAGTTTTGCTGTCTCTCCAGCAGCTGCCAAGAACCTGGCCATTGAAGTTGTAGGATTTAGAAAGTAGAAAGCTGCAAGATGGCAAACCAAGCGTTTGTAAATCAGTACCATCCCTTCTCAAGGAGGAGTTAAAAAAAAAAATCACAGGAATCTCTTGATTAAAAAGATATTACATATTACTTGTTGGTGGTGCCAGTGGCACAATACAGTTTTGACTGTTTCTATGTCAGTTTTTTTTATTTGCATAGTACCAGTCCATGGGCCAGACAGGTACCTGCAGCATCTTTCAGGGATTTCTGGTCTCGTAAGGCTACACAGCCAAGCCACAGTAACAAATCAAAGCATGTCAGCTAGTGGCACAGTACAGTTTAGACTGTTTCTATGTCAGTTTTTATTTGCATAGTACCAGTCCATGGGCCAGACAGGTACCTGCAGCATCTTTCAGGGATTTCTGGTCTCGTAAGGCTACACAGCCAAGCCACAGTAACAAATCAAAGCATGTCAGCTTCCCTTGTTTCAGGAAAACACCAAGACACTGACCGACACAGCTTGTCAGCCTGCTCTCTGTAAATAATTACCATTGACTGTTCCCCAATTTGGTTGCAGCAATCTGGAAGGTGTTGCATGGAAGAGCAATCACTATCTTGCACCCTACTTTTCCAGGCACAAGATGCAAAGCTCCTGCAGCCTTCACGCACAGGTATGCAGGAAAGGAGCTGAATCCCTGGGGATGGAAGGTACCGCTGTGTGGGAAACCCACTCTCTATTTGGTGACTCAATCTTCCCAAATAAGAACTGAGTAACTCTCTCTTAGTAACCTTGGAGAATACCAGGAGTGGGCTTTACATTTGAGGATGTACAAATTGCATGACGTGCTTCTCTGAGAACACAGCAGTAACCCATTCAGACACAGCATGGGGATTTTTTTTTTTTGTTAGGGGGGATTTTTGTTTGCTTTCTTTAACAGAGAGCTGGCAACAGCCAGAGCCCCTCCCTGTACAAATCGTACAAAGTTATCTCCAGCCAGAGGTCCTAGAGCATAAAGCCCTTTCTCCTGAGTGCATTCATAGGTGAATGGGTCAACATCTATGGGGTTCCTCTTTGGATTGACTGGTTTGTCACTGTCCATTGCCAAGTCAATGCCATTATTTGGCAGAAAGGAGAGGTTGGGGTTTGAGCCAGTTAGAACAAGAGCCATGGAAATTTTATAAACTTTCTGGCAGCCATTCTTGTCTTGAAAGATGCATTTCTTGTCCTTGCCGAAGGATAGCACATGATGTTCAGGAAGGCTAACGTAACGCTCATAGGGCCCGGCACAAGCGGCTGACTGTTCTTTCATCATCTGATGGACTTTGTGGTATTCAGGGTACATCATTTTGGGGAGCTGGTTAAAAATAAGGCCTGGATCACTGACTCGTCTCCGAAAAACATGGATTACTGGAATATTGCAATGGTGAGCAAAGAGAATTGCATCAGCAGCTGTCAGACCAGCACCTACAATCAAGACTGGATCTGACATGATGCTAATGCTGTTGTTCTTCACCGCTTCCTCGAGGGCAGACAGCTGGTGATGGACATGGGAAAGGTTCTCTCCTCTGACCCCAAGCCAAGTAGGACTATCATACGTTCCCGTAGCTAAGACCACATTCTCTGCATAGATAGAGAAGGGCTCTTTATCATCTTTCAGAGTTTTGAAATATCCATCCACCTGAAAGACCTCTGTACTTTCTTCATTGAAGTTCCAGAGCGAGTCACTATTCTCCTGCAGATCTTTCTGTGCGTGGTTGGAGATGCTCTCTGCGCTCACTCTCCTCACAGAGGTCACAACAGTACCACATCTGAAGTTCTTCTGCAACCCTTTCTTCATCACATAGTGTTGGTAATATTGAGCAATGTCTTCTGCTGTGGCTCTATTGTTCCTGAGGCCTCTGTAATGCAGTACAAACAAAGGTCAAGCAGCAGGTAACTAAGAGACTGGAATTTCTCCCCTCTTCCACTGAATGTACCCTAGAGCCATCTATCCTGGCACTACCAGAGAAGTTTCATCTAGTTTCCCTGACATCAGCAAAGCTATTCCTGGGACACAGAGCGAACACTCAGGTCCACAAGCTGCTGGACAGAGGCAGCTTCCTCTAGCATGAATCCCATCCGTAAGAACACAGGTACTCAGTTATGCCTTCCTCTCACATCTTGTTTCATTTTGCACATTTTTAGCTCTGGGACTTTCACTAGCACCTCAGAGACTGCACAGTAGCTGATCTGATTTTACTTGTCATTAGGGACAGCAACAGTAGACACCGAAGCCAGATGCCCATGCCTTTCCCCAGTTTTATTCAGAACTCACGGTCACTGTGATCCATCTCCCCAGCGGGTGAGGACACGGCGCAGCGCTGCTTGGAACTTTACCCGAATCACTGAATGCAAATGGACTTTTACTGGGGGATGAGAGAGTGTCCTTTCTCTGACTAGAATCATTCAAGAAGTCCACTCCAGGTTCCCAAATAACCTCTGAATGTTTGCAAATAATCACATCAGAGATATCTTACCTTCTCTTTTGCTTTAGCCAGTCCTTGAAGGGGAGATCTGGGAGCCCCATCCATTCCCCCCTGCTCAGGGTAACCATAGAGCCCTCAATAGACTGGAACGAGAAACACAGTAAAATGACTTTTAGTTATTTAATGTAAAAAGTGAAATGCAGTTTTGTCATATTTCAATACGGCATAGATCACAAAATCTGTGATTTCCTCTGATCTGCTGTCATGGATGAAACCATCCATGTTGTCCAAAGAGAACAATAGACTGGAAATATAAATGCTTCTCATGCTTTTTTTTCCTTTTAATTTTTTGCTTGTCTATATACTTAAAATCAAATGCAGCTGACCAGCACATCAGAGCAGCTTTTGCCTCTCCAGCCAGTGTGTTTGTGTATCGTGCAACACGCAGACCTAAGCAGCTAGGCTTCAATTCACATACATGCCAGACGCCTCCAGGAGCATTTCTGCCCAGGACCAGGTGGGGGATGGCTCTGTCAGTCTCATGCCACCAAGTGAGGACAGATTCTGCTCTTCCACCCAAGTCTGTGTCTGGATGCTGAAGAGTATCAAACAGAAGAGCCACAGGACTGTGGGATCGTCCCTCCAAGCCTTCAGAAAGATACTCCAAATCCTAAAAGAGAGGAAGATCAGATGCTCAGAACGCATGTCCTGCCAGGCAGCAGACTGCTGGTTACACCAGTATTTCCAATCAGTGGTTTTGGTGTCCTGTGAAGCTCATTTACTGGCACAGACTCTGTAATTCCCCAAGAACCACCTCAAGGATCTCAGCAGCAGTGCTTACATTTCATGCAAGGGAGATCTGGACAACAAGTACTTTGCTTAAGGCTCATTCTGTCTGTGTACTTTGAAAATTCAAATCAGGTTGTCAACTATAATATGTCCCTAGGATGCTTTACTGGGATGTTGTACCGTTTCTCTTTACACTAACCTGGTCTAAAATGGAGACATCTGGTGCTTCTTCCAGTTTCCTCTGAAGAATAGGATGAGGATGAAGAGAATCTCTTTTGAAGTAAGGGATGTAGCCTGACAGCAAATATGAGAGACAGATTCCTGAAGGTCCATTCCCTAAAAAGACAATGGAGAAGAATTTATACTCCTGCAGATAAAGCAGCCCTTTGAGAAGTGCTTCGAACATCCAGACCAATTCAAAGGATAAGACACTGCTGTGGATACGGTGGGCTTTCTATTCCGGGTTGATCCCTGACCTATTGGACGGTGCTGGGGAAGTCGTTTTACCCCCATATGTCCCCTTCTCCTTCTCTGTTGCACCTATTTGCATTGCAAGGTCTTCAGGACAGGCTGAAAAGACACTGAGTTAAACAACCAGAGGGTAACCTCACCTGGAGCTTGAAGTCTCTAGCATTCTAATGAATTATTGTTCATTAATGTCTTTAAAGGTTTAGAAACCGGTCACATTGTGACTTGACATCAAGTTTGCTGGATGCCCATTGCACACCAGTGCAGAGTAGTTCATTGTGCGCAAAAGACAGAGTAAGCCCAGGAAAGAGTAACTGCTGAAGTGAAGGGGAAAGAGCTCTGCTGGGTAAGAAATCCCAGCCACTGAGGGATATCTGGCAGCAGCAGTTCTGACCAACGGGTCTTGAGGACGCTTTCAAATGGGAACCAGCCCTACCATGGTACTGCAGGCAGTGTGTCGAGGGAAAAAAAAAAAAAGTCTCTCCACCATGCCAAGACAGCCTCCCAGAACACAGCGCTTTGAACAGATTGCTAGATGACTGAACTCCCGCAGGCCACCCGACAGCCAGTGGAAAACCATGATAGATGTGCCTCTGAAGCCCAGCGAGAGTAGCCCGTGGAAAGTTTTCACATGGCTGTTCTCCAGCGTGTTTAATATTTTACAGTGTCTACATAACTAGGTGGCAGGCTCTCTGGCTGCTCAGGCTTTGTCACTCACTGGTGTGTGACTAACCACCGTGACATAATGCAGTGACAGCGTCGGGGAGGAGAGCTGGCGGGACCCAGCAGCCTGTCCTGACACGGTGCCGCGTGTGTGAGTGACTGGGGCAAAGGCTGCTCCTGGGGGATGTGAGACGGAGGGAGGCTCAGGCTGGAAAGCTAACAGCGAGCTGAGCTCCGTGGGGCCAAAGTCCGCTGTGCTGAGCAAGGACCAGCAGCTGCAGGCCAGTGCTTGGAATATTCCATTTGCAGGAAAGTTATCCCAACCCAACAGCAAGAGGAATTAGAAGCAAACTAAACTGCAGTTATAGTAAAATATAATACTTTTTAGGTTCCTTCTTTGCTTTAGGAAGTACAAGGAGGTACCTAAGCCAAACTTCATCACCTGAGTGATGCTCAGCAACACACCCAGAGGATTTACTTTGAACCACACCTACGTTCTGTACGGATGGTCACAAGCACAGCTGCTTCTGGGGCTCCAGCTATTCCAGAGGCTGCCAGCTGTGCAATATCCAGCTACAGCAAAACAGCCCAGCTGCTCCAGTCCAACAGCCTCCTGGGAGCACACACCTTCACACTGGTGCTTCTGAGGCTTTAGTGACATCTCCGCACTGTACAGGTGCACTAAGGATGTACCCCAATGTCCTCCCTCCCACCTAAGGAATTGTGCAAGCGGCAGCACAACAATCACTGTCAGACTAGAACCTGCTGTTAGGAGGGTCCTTGTCAAACTCACTGTTAGCAAGGATTAAGTGGGGCTTATGTGGTACGCTAACTTTGGACTAGCTCTCTTGGGTGCTATAAATCAGAGGAGGGGTAAGGAAGGAACCCAGCTCTCCAAGGCATTTAAACACATGCTCAGCTGAACGGGGCCCAACACCTGCACTCAAGCACAGCTCACAAGCAGAGGGGAAGACACAGACATCACTACTTGTGCTTTTGCTCCAAGAATCACCTTACCTTACAAAGCTTCCTTCTTGCAAGGGAGACAAGACAGTTACTATATCACCTGCTAAACCGGTAGAAAACCCCCAGCTTTTTACCATTCTACTAAATCTGAAAAAAATATTCAGTGGAGCTGGCTTGCATTTTAAAATAGGAAATCTGTGAAAAATGTCAAGAAACTTGAACAGCATCTGGAACACTTTCTAAACACACACAATGGGGAAAGAAGATCACACACACCCATCTCCAATTCAAGCAGATAACTACTGCACGGCAAGTTGATTAACCATCTGCAGTGAAAATGTTTCAAACCTTTCAAAATATCCAACAAAGGAAAAGCAGGCCCAGCTGGACTGATGCCTAAAAGGTTACCAATTTTAGTATGAAACAAAAAGTACATGTTTTAGTTTAACAAATACCTGGTTCCCTACTTCCCACAACTCTTAGTAGGCTTTCTCTTCACAGGAGAGAAAGTCTGGCTGGCAGGGAAAGGATGCAGAAACAGTGGCCAGGCATTTCTGGTTTGAATAACACATGGAACAAGAGCTGAAGACAGCAAGTCCAAAGCAACACCACCGCCACAGGAGAACACAGTAAAGCTGGGAGGAGAAAGCTTACCTATGATCACAACAGGCAGTGGCTTAAACCCACTGTTATTTTGGGGTCTGGTCAATAACGGATACATCTTCCCGTCCGGAAGCATTGAGGTCCTGGAGTCTACCTGTTAAAACAATAAAGTTTTGAATTATTTGCTTTCTTTGACAAAAAAACCAAACAAACCGTGACTTTCTACAGCCCACAAACCAAGGCTGATCTACACTATTTGCATTGCAGACTATCACATTGAGCTTCCACACCAGGACAGACCTATTTATCTTTTTCTCCTCTGGTCCCCAAAACCAAAGGATGATTCCTTGATTATACACAACAAAAGAGGGAGAGAACCCTTATCTCTCTCTTCCACACATGAATTCCAGTCCCTCCAGAACAGCTGGCAACTTCGGTATCCCTCCGACGACAGTAACTGAAGTATTACAGCTTGTTAATGAAAAATTCACTTCTGCCCATACTGTAGAAAATTGCCACAATTCTAACAAACACTTCATACTTTTTAAGCAACGTGTGTTTACTGATAGGCAGAGAAAACCTCACTCAAGACTTCTACCCAAAGGCTGGAAATCTCCAGGCTGCATTTTCAAATATGTACCACTCCATCACTCCAGGGCTTTTAAAGTACTAGTTTAGTTCCTGAACCTTCTTAATTTTCCAGAAAATAGAGAGTTCTAAGTCTGAACAAGTAAATAACAAGTCTTTAAACAAAATATACAACAAATACATTATCTTGGAGACTGAGGTGTCATTAGAGTGGAATCTACAAAACTCATCTGACCGTTGCGCAGATATCCCATGAACAGTGAATTTAAGTTTTTTGCCATTCCTGCAGGAATTCTACCATGTCAAATAACGACTTCTCTAGTTTGCCAGAGAATAACTATACTGTCACTAATCTAGAGAAGTTCGAAAGTTATTTTTACCACAGTAAAATTTTCAAAATTCAGCATAAAGTTTTAATTTATTCTACGGAGAACAGTCTTTTCTAAAAACATGACTCGTTTTGGAAAGTGAAGTAGAAATCCACTGAATGGCATGACTTTGTTCAGTGGGGCGTGCTCTCTGCACCCTTTTCAAGCACAGAAAGATCTTTGGCAAGCACGCTGCACGCTCCCATACGGTCTGGCACATCACTGCCTTTGACACAGGTATGGCAGCAAATGTCATCCTACAAGTGTAATGTTCCTCTTGAAGCCTGACATTTACATCACCAGCAACTACAGTAATACAGTAAGACCCTGGTGATTGAATGAGTGGCCAGAAAATCATAGGTGAGTTTAGGAGCTGCAGAATCTCAGGCTTCAGGAGGAGTCTCATAAGTGCATTTGCCTGCAAGGATGTGACAGTTCTCATAGATGCCAACATACAGCCATGGCAGGGCTAGACAGAGCTGGACTGGGCTCATCCAAGTAGAGAAGCACACAATAAGGCTGACAAGTTGAATTAAAAACCTGCAACTTTGTCCAAATTTTTGCATCACAGTCTAGTAACACTTTCTGGTTTTCTACTACCACTTAACTAAGACTTTTGTGCATTTTGCCTGACAGGGCAGCACTTAGAGATGCGACAGTCATGCTTTCTAATGTAACCCATCTCAAGCATCTAGCTTTGAAGAGAGTTGGATTGCAAGGAAACTTAGGTTCCCAGTTTCATTGGGACTCAAAGGTGGATGCATCCGCTACAGAAGATGAACACTTCTGTGCTGTGCCCATACCAAGGCATGTTTCAACCCCTTGAGGCATATTTAACCCAACCCTGGTAGCTGCAGGAGCACAGCCTAAGTACTTCCCAGTCCTTTTGGGTAGGTTCTGCCACACGAACTAAAACCTGCATCAACTTCAGCAGATTGTTGGGTAGATTTACCCCAAAATAATTCCCTGCCAAAAGCCTCCCGAGTTGCAATTGGCAGAAATCAGCACTAGCACCTGGGATGGCCAGAGATACCAAGGGAATGGGACACTGGTGTGACCAGTAAGGTATTCTCGCAAACCTGCTAAACCACAGCACCTATCTGAAGGGTAGCAGAGGTTTCTTCTCCATAGGAACAAATAAATTCCTCTCCATGGCTGTACTACACAAGAAGACACATTCTTATTAATTTTTCCTCACACAGAAGGCACATCTTATTTTGGTGATACTATTGGGAATCTGGAAGAAGGAAGCAACATCTCTGGAAGCAACCTTCCAGGTCTCTGCTCTGCAGGAGTCTGCAGCAGAATGCATGCACTCTGTAGACAGTGGTAACCCAGCAACATCTGCAAGATTTTTGCTGGAAGCAAAGGCTGCTACACCAACCCAGTAACACACAAGGGAAGAGGCACAAGGCAAGAGTTCAAGGAGAGCAAAAAAGCCAGCATATAAATAATGAGTTTGCAAGCCCATTTTAAGACTTGGGCGCAAAGTCATGCCATTGTGTGCCAGCATTTTTCTGGGGGAGCCTGAAGGGGACAAAAAAGGCACAAGCCAGTAGAAGCCAGCCTGGCAGTCTTGTTTGCTTTAGAGGAAGGTTGCCTTGGCTCCTAGCCGTTGCACCATGCCAGCCTGCCCCACCCTGATAGAGAGCAAAGCCAGCAGCAGCAGGCTCAGTGATAACGCTCTCCTCATTTCACCCTCCTCCTCCATTCTGTACCTCCCACACATGAAAAAGGAGCATTTACTGGAATTAAACAAATCCTGATGGCTAGAGGAGCACAGTTGTTTTCTGATGAAATTATTAGACCTATGCACATACATGACCATTTTTATCCCCGGTTTTATTCAGAATCTGAGTTCTCAAAACCCCACAATGACCATTTCAGTGCTACACACTTTGTTTCCTGAAGTTTTGACACTGGACAAGTTTCTCAACACCAGATTAAGCATCAGAGATGCTTCTGTTTATCCTAGCAGGTCTCTACAAATGGGAGATCTCCCTTCCACATCCTACAGCTGCCCTCTCTGTAATTCACAGTTGATAATCCTCCTTCTTCCGTAGAAAATGAACCAGATGCAGAACCTGTTTATGGCTATTCCAATCCTGTAGGCTAAATGTTTGACTTCTGGGGGTAAAACTGAGATCAGAGCATCTCAGGAATTTCAGTTTAAGGCCAAATGTTCACTTCTCCTGCCATTAGAAGTAAAGACAGATTTTTTTTTTTTTTTTTGAAATTTTAGAATCAAGGGACCACATACACTTTGATAACCTCTACAGCTCACAGTGTAGCAGATGAAAGCCTGTTCTTGCAGAGGCTACTGGAAACCATACAGGACACTGAAGTTCCTTTCAAATTTATACAGAACCATCAGCAGCAAGAGAAAGCCTGAGCTATCAGGAAACCCAAGACTACATAAAAGGAGGGTGAGAAGAGCAGAGTAAGATGCTGGGAACTCACACTTAGTCAACTTAGAGACACTGATCTCTGTTTCAGGCTTCCTACTTTAAATGGATGCCTTTTTCCTCCTCTTCATTTGGAAGCATCCTGCAAACTCCTCAATTCATCTCCTCACTGCTTCCAAAGCATTTCAGTGTCTGTGTGATGTTACATAATTGTTCCGGCTTGGAAAAGCACCCAGCTCATTCTGGGCCAAACTCTGCATACCTTCCTGACACAGCCTCAAGCCTACAGGGACTATAACTCACACCAAGTCGGTCAGCGTGGCCCCTGGCAGCTCCAGACTGCACAACTGAAACAGGTTTTCAGGGAGTAAAAAGAAAAAGCAAGGATGCATTTAGCAAGACAATGAGACTAAATGATCTTTAGCAGAGATCAAAAGCCAAGTTATACTAATCATGTGCAGGCAGCTCTCCCTGTAACATTTAATGAGACTTCTGCTCAAGTGAGGACCACCAAGTGTGGGCTGTACAGCACGTGGGGAGCGTTCCAGTGCACTGCAGTCAGTATATATAAATACCACAAGAGATTGAAAGAGCTACCATGACCCTCAGGTTCACACAAGAGCAGGGCTAACACAAATACGACATTTTTTGTCAGCTTCTTTTCTTTGTCAACCTATTCATTTCACTAGCACTTTTCATTTTTTAATTCCTTAGGGCACAGGAATCTCAAGAGTTTTTACATTTTATGCTTGCCTACAACTTTCAGAAGTTTGTTCCCCCCCCCCTCCCCACCTGCAATCCGCTTCATCACTCTTCCATGGCAGGCCAGTTACCCCACAAACACAAGCATATGGGAAAAAAAAAACCACCTAAAAATACTACATTTCTAAGAACACCCCTGTGCTACTCAGAAAGCGACGTTACAGTGCGCCAGACAGAGCTCTGCACATTTACTTGTTGCCTTCTTACCTCTAGCAGCAGGTCTGATGAGCAGGAGATCTTTATGGAAACACCTGTACCATCAGGAAAGCCACCCAGACCTCAAGCCTTGAATCCTGCCTCTGCTCTAGGGCACTGTTTAAATACAGGAGGCTCCCAGCACTGAGAGAGGAGAGGAGGAGCTGAAAGGGATGGAGGCGGAGCAAGGAAAATACTTATAAGCATGAGTCAGAAAAAAATCCCAGCTTGTGAATGAACGAGGTCAGAATCTTCCTTAGTAATGCTCAGCTGACAGCACGCCTACGGCACAAGCGGGCTTCCAGGAGCCAGGCACGGCAGAAGACCTGCACTGAGCAATTATCTTCCTTTTTAACCCACAGAGTAAATTAAAACTGGAGACTTCATCAAAATACAAAGCTTCCTGTGGCAGAACTGTGTTTTTCCTTTGTATTTAAAAGAGAAAAACCCTATTTATAATTACAGGTGGGAATAAAAGTGATAGGATAACACTGTATGCCTGGTTTAAAAACAGGGGTCTTTTCAGCCACAAAAAGTCAAAAAAGTGTGATGGCTTTCTTCCTCCTTGGGATGGTTTGTGGTTTTAGTTTCACCTATATCATCCACTACATCATCTACTATGTAACAGATACAGTGGGTCTGAAAATATAGGCTTCAGTTTGTATCTTTTTTCTTCAGCAAGTGAGAGTTTTACAAACCTGTTGCACAGTAGCTGTAAAATTAGTCAGAGGACTAAAACTTAGACCATACCGGGATTTTCATCCAAGGTGTCTTACCCAATTCAGCGGAATAATCAATCAGGCTTGCTAAATTTAAAG